GAGCCGCGCCCCCGGCCCCGGGATGCCCACCCTGAGGCCGCTCGCATCCCCGGGCCGGGCCCGGCGACCCCGCTCCTTCCTTCCGTTCGTGCGTCCGTCCGAGCGGCGGCGCCCGGCCGGCTCCCTTAAGCGGAGGCGCCTCCCGACGCCACCTACCCTCGCCGGTCCCTCCCTCTCCGCTCGCTCCGGCGAAGTTTGCACGTCAAGCCCCCGGAGTGCAGCGAGGGCGAAGTCGGAAACGCAGCCACCTATGGAGACGCCGGCCGGCTGGCCGGACACCAGCGTGTCGTCGCCGTCGGGCCTCCCGCCCCGGGTGCCAGCGGGGGCGCAGGGCCGGGCCGGGGCGCTTTCCTCGCCGCTCGCGGGCGGCCGCGCAGCTGTCAAAAGCATGAATGGGGTGCTACCGCCGAGCGGGTGCCTGGCGCGTTGGAAACCATCCGCAGGCGTCGACGTGCGGCCCAGGTGTGCCCGCAGTCGACCCGTGCCCGTGCGCACCCGAGGCTGCCCACGTCTGTTCCCCGACGCCGTCCACCGGGGTCACGGCGTGCGTCCGAGGCCAGCAAAGAGGCGATCATGAAATCAGTGTAAAAGCGAAGGGAGGAGACAGACCGAGGCAATCTGTTAATGCCCCAAATTTCTTATTTACCCCATTGCTCGTGGAAGTAATGAATTTACCATGAAAAGAAAAAGAAAAAAATACCTTTTAAAAATGATTCACTTCTAATTCGACTTGTTAGTATCTCCTTACAGTTTTCTAGAGCAGGGCGAGAACGCAGGGCTTAGGGGAATGGACAGAATTCCTAGAAAACTGTTTAGAAGATGTTTTCCGATTTTGTTATTAAATTAAGCCTTGGCCCACAAAACTTAGACACCCCCCCCCCCACACACACACATAGCTTTTGCTTAGGTAATAGCCTGTTGATGTGAAAATAAGGTTACTTAATGAACTAAACATGAGAAGTACTTGAAACAGTAGCAGACCGCACCAATCACTCTGTTACCATTATTTCTAATGGATATGGAAATTTGAAGCTTTAGACAAAATGATTCTGATTGTCGTGCTTCACCTGCCAGTAATATCAGCGCTCACAGCACTTGCGATAGCTGCTTCCTCACAGGGGCTGGAAGGAATGTGGATTTATTTAGGGTTTTTATCCCCAGTATCTGGTCTAATGGAGGTGGCCAATAACTCTGCAGAAACAAAGTTCAACTTGCAGGAACACAGACATGTTTAAATAAGTATAAAACTTAGTAAGCAAATGTTATTGTAACCCAAACTTAAACCAGGGCTCCAGTAGAGAGGATTTATTTTAGGTTCAAAATTTAAATACTTTAGAATATATATATATATAAATTAATGGCTTTTTATTTTAGAAAGATTTAAAAATAAAATCGTAATTTTTTTTCCTGGACTACATGCATATACCAATCCAAAAAGTGAACTTATGCACGCTTCCTGTCCTTATCTGAGAAGTAGTAAAAGCAAAATAATCAAAAATGGTAGAAACGAGTGGAAATGATTTAAAAAAAAAAAATCATATCTGAAACTGTAACTTCCTACGTAAGTGCATCAACGAGAAAATTTTAAGGGTAAAATGTGTAATCCCCTAAGCAACAATAGAGTTCCTAATTCTTAACATAGGCCCCCATTCTTGGATGCCCCCAACGCAGACTTTCAACTTTTCATTCATTCCAAATAATTGAAAAATCTGTGTAATTACATGAAAACATTTGACTTTTCTGTTTCCCTAGATTAAAATACACAGTTTATGAAGTACATTGAATTTCGTAATTCATCATTTAAGACAAATGAAAATTTGGATTTTAATGGCATTTGGAGCTGCAATTAAAAAGAAAAGGCAGGGCCACGCAGTTATACAGACAGCAAAGACAGCTTGCCTGATACCTGAGAGTACTGGATGAGAACCACAAGAAGGGGAAAAATGGCAAAGATAAAGTATAGTCCCACTTCCTGAAGACCCTGCTTCATAACTCCCTTTTTATATGTGAAAATATTTCAGATTCACTAATATGGCTTCTAGCTAATGGGGTCAATATAGCAGCTTACAATAATACAACTTCTGTCCTAATTCCTGTTGATACATCTCTCTCTCTTTTTCTTCAGCCTGTGATTGGTTTAATAAAGAAAACACAGCAACAGGGATTAAAATGAAAAAATACCAAGTATCCTCTTACCATGCAGTAGTTACTAAGGGAAAGTATTACTAGTAACAGCTATCAATTAAGAAGCACCTACTAAATGCCAGGCATTGTCGTATATATCTTACCTCATTATCTCAAACAATACTCACTACTGTGTAAGGCAGTTCAAATCCAGCAGGCACTACCTGGAAAATCTACGGGACAGTTCTACTCTGTCCTATAGGGTTGCTATGAGTCGGAATTGACTCGACGGCAATGGGTTTGTGGTAAGGCGGAAGCTGTGTTATTTATAATGTACAGATAAAAAAATTACGGAGGGCTCTGGAGTCAGTCCTCTCCTGACAAGCTGTGTAACCTTGGACAAGTTACCTAACTTTTCTGCACTTCAGTGTCCCCATCTGTAAAATGGAGATGAGACCAGGCTTCATCTGAGGATTACATGAGAAGATCTATGGAAAGTTCTTGGTACAAAGCTGGGCACAAAATAAATACTAGAAATAAATGTCATATTGAACTGAGTAATTTAACCCAACTCTTATCTGAGAAATTTGCTAGCAATCTAAAGTGGATGTGGGGACCAAGAGATTGGCAGGTAATTCCTGGCAACTCCCCAGCAATTCTCCTTCGCTGTAGCCAGCACACTGACCACACTTTCTTCATCCATAAGGAAGTGCTTCCCAGTACAGGCAGTTTCTGTCCTTATCCACAGTTGGTTTCAGTTTCCCGATAATTTGAATAAGTCACCAACAAAAGTCAAAACTGCAAGCTGAGAAAATGCAGTGCTCTGATACTCAAATTTGGGCAACTTTTTTTTTTTTTATTGTACTTCAGGTGAAGGCTTACAAAACAAATAGTTTCTCATGACACAGTAGTACACATATTGTTTTATGACATTGGTTAACAACTCCACAACATGTCGACCCACTCCCTTCTTGAC